GCATGAGATGCTACACACACTATGGGTGCACGGGCAAAATTCTGCTGCCAACACAGGGCGTTACTCTGTAGTGAAAGGAATGGTAAATTACTCCCCAGAGAGAAGAGAACGTTCACAGTATCTGTCTGGGTAAATGTAAACCCACACTTCCCTGTCCCCTGGTATACCTCACCTGTGTTACCACAGCCCTCGGCTGAGACATTAGCTTTCAAAGTCACCATCAGTAGGGACCAGAAAATGCTGAAGATTACAAAAGGCTGGGAAAAAGTATTTATTCACTTATCAATAGAAGCTGGAAGCAACTGGCACCCTGCTTTCTTTAGAAGGACAAGGACCGGAAAAAAAAAATTGCAGATGACTGGCTGTAGGTCTTTTGCGATAGCAGTACACTTGAAGTAAATTAATTTGTTTTGATTTATATTTGGTATATTTTATGTTCAGCTCTATTATAACACCCTTTTCTCACACACTTTAAAAAAAAAAATCAAATAAAAATGGATTTAGAGAATTCAAAAGAATTTGAAAACAAAGTCCTCAAGCTGAGTTCGGGTTTCTGTTTTTAGTTTTAAACAATATTAGGCATTTTACACTCTCAATGTATAATGGAATATTGCAGAATTAAATGTGCTTTTCCACATTTAAGCTGATACTCTACACTGAAATATTTCTGGTCTGAGAATACCTAAGCATGAGGAAAAAAGTTTAATTCCAACTATGACCATAATGTTGCTTCTGTCAGCTGCTGGCAGTAGAACAGCTTACTGAGAGCATAAAAAAAGAAAAGTTTTTCTCCTGGGATCTGGGAAGAAGCAGCGGCAGCAGACTGTTAGCAACTACACAGCCTTTAAAGTTCCCACCATGGTATAAAACATTTACAGTGCTTTACTAAAGTCAAAGTACTACATGTGAAGAGAGATAGGACTGGTAAGAGTATACTAAAGTTGTATTATTAAAAAACCATGACCTTTAAGATTTTTCCCCACAGTCTGAAGGTAAATCGTTTAACCAATGCAGAAGTCTTGTTTCCATATTAATGTTTCTACCGTTCTTGGCCAAAACAAGACTTTGCTGTACATAACTAATCTATACCTGTATATGACATTGTATTGTTTAATGAAAAAAAAAACAAAACAACTAAGCTTGAGCATTTCAGGTAAAGTGAACAAATACATTAGTATACCCTAATATAAAGTTCCATACCCAAACTTTAAGTACTAACAGCGAGGATTCATATCTGTCAGCCAGAATCTAGAGCAGCCACTTACACCACTTTCGCTTCGAAACTTTGCTTTCTTTCATTGTTTTTATGCCTTCAGAGTTTTAACAAGTTACTTTCTACCAGACGTAATGGATCTCACAGGCTGATACACTCATCCAAGTGAATCCTTTCCAAAACCAAGTTTTCCTAAAATTCTTGAACCTGAGTTTTGTCAGAGCATGCTAGGTAGAACAGATTGAAGAGCTGCTGCTCCAAATCCTCTATTTGGATTTATAATTTTTATAAATTTTTGTAAGCTGTATGCTTGCCAGGCACACTGCTTTCTATCATTAGGTGCTGCAAACTGTTAAGGGTGTCCACCTGGCCCCGGATCAGACCTGCCCTAGGAGCGCTATTGCTTACAGCCCTGTAGCGGGGTGCAGCTTCCATACCTGGACACCCCCAGCACCCAAAGTACTCATTACGGCATGAAGGAAGCGAACCTTGAGGTGTTTCCCCAAAGGCAGGGAAAACACTGAACGGCCACCTCTACCTGCACTGGATCAAAGAGGGCAGTAGGAAAATTACTTGTGGTTTGCACTCATTCTCTAGCAAAGATCCCAAGCTTCTGCTATATCAGTAAGTCACCGCAGGGTGCTGGGGACCCTTACAGCAGCCACGTGTTGGATCAAATCCTGCAGTACAGTTCACTGATATAAGGACAGGCAGATTTCCCTCCAGGTTTTAATTTCTGGCTCAGAAAAAAAAACAAACCAAACAACCAAAAAACCCACAAACAACTGATACTGGCTAGCATGTTAACCACCTAGCTGCATGTATCTTAAAACTTTTTGTTTTTTAAATTAATAAGCTTCTGAAGTTTATCGAAATAGACAGACTTTATTCAAGTGCAAATATTACCAAGATTTATCATTAATGGTTCAAGGCATGGCCAAGGACCTCCAAGATCACTGGCTGAAGCATTATTGTCTTAGGAGACAAGGGTCTCAAAATTGGCTTAACAGTTCAGTTACTTCTGACAGTAGATTCTAAATGCTCCCTTGATACCTCAGCAAGCATTTATTTACCTGCACTTGGCGAACAACATTAGCCAACCGCTTGGTACATGGATCTTCATGTTTAATAGCTTCATGAATTTCACCATCCGCAATTATACCAAATATTCGGGGAAGGTTAGAGTTGTTGGGACCGAGGACAACTGGGTTGTTGCTGTTACAATCAAAATATATATTACAAATAAATTAAACTAAAAGAAATTAACATAAGCATTTTACATGTAAGTTGAGTGATTTTGAAATACCTTATTCTAAAGCCGCTTATTTACACCCAAGTTTCACTCAACCGAGTAAGTATGCACAGCTTTGTTGCCTGCTGACAGAATGTTCCCTCTCCTGTTAATATGTAACCAGCTGATTCTTTAATCAGCCTACACTTTATCAGGAAGAAGTTCTGGACTTTACAGAACGGTTGAGTTCCATGCAGATGGAACTGTAAATAGTGTGACAGAAATACCCTGCCTAAAACAGCTTGTTCCTCTCTCTCTCAGTGCTGCAAGGGGGAGGAGGTTGTGTTACCGGCGTCAGGAGCACCCCTGACTTCAGCTCTCCGCCAGCGCTCTCGCTGACACAGCAAGTAAGCAGCTCTGTTCGCTCTTTCCCAGCCAAGCACTGGAGTAGAGGAATACTGGCAACCAGAGATGTGGGTGGAAAATGCAATCTACTTCCAGCTCTGCTACCAACCACTGCTGGAACACGGCGGCTGTCAATGTAGGACTGACAGAGCTCCAGAGAAGTACCTAGCGAGGCTGAGCCACCTGCACAGAGCTGGGTACAAGTATGTGCTAGTACTGTCATTCTTGATTTCTATATACATGTGCATATGCGTGCACGTCAGTAGTAGTATTACGGTGCCTCTACATAACTGTACTATTACGAGCCTAGGGATCTCAGCTGCCACCACCCATTTTGAGACCTTGCCTTAATAAAGCACCAAGAGATACAAGGTATTCACATAGTAGAAAAGACTGCAGGAAATCTAAGTTATTACTTTTCTATTTTTCTACTAAGATAGAATACGGCGTCCACCAGAACATGGCTACCACATAACGTTTCAGAAGCTGACATTCTTCCACTCAATTATGAGGTGCAAGTTGCACCCACGCTAGAAAAAGCATCTTTTTTTTTTCCTCCATTGACCTATGGGAGGGAGCACAAATCTACAGAACAAGCTGTGAGACAAGATGCTTTCAATAATGACTGAAATTATTATAAAAACTTATTAAGGGAGAGAGCACTGTACCATGAATTCATCTGCATTATTTCTCTATTTTGTACTCGGTTTTGTTTATACTCTAGCTTTTGGAGAGCAAAAAGATACAAAGCTACTTTAAAAGGTTATGGAAATGAAGGCTGCAAGGGCTTGTGTGCTGCTCTTAGGTAAAAAGACCTGAGCAGTTATTAGTGCTGATATGTAAGCAGAATATAAAAAATTTTCCTGAAATTTTCTGTAGAAGTTCCCAGCTGATCCTTCCCCATCACGTACATATAAAGCAGCCAGGGATTTTTTCAAGCCATACAGATGTTTGTTAGGATGAGAACCCTGACTGTTTAAAAAACCAGCAATAACACTGTGGAAGGCTCGGTTCTGACATTCGAAATTATCTTCTCTAAAGCATATGCAGATTAACCTGGCAGTTTTTCAGTTCTGCAAAATGAATGCAAGGAAAGAACCTGCAAACAGGCTTACTTTCTGCATTAATGTCAAGACTTTGCCTTACCTCTCAATTAAGTCACACAGATAATTGAAAGTATGAACAGCTTCCTCCTTATCTTCATGGAGTGGAAGCCATGATAACCAGTGCGGCAGGACTTCTTCAACATTTACACAGTCAGGCTTGAACTTCATTATCTTTCCTACAGCTGAAATGCAGTTCTCTGTTGCATTGACATTCTCTTTGGTTTTGGCATCTGGTGACTGAATAACTCTCACCAGCAATGGAAGCGCCTCTAATTGTCAAACAACATAAGAATAAAGTTTAATGCACAATCCAGTTATATTTTATTAACATCACAAATTCTACATGAGACTACGGCACGTATCAAAACCAGGATTTTTCTGTGGCTCAAGCACCAAAATCCAGTCATCCCAATGTCCCACTTCTTCTAGGTTCTTCCCTGCTCAATAATCAATATATGAAAAACAAACACGTAGATAAAGCTATGCAAGGAAATACAAGAAAACAGCTACTGCAGAAGTTTGGATTTGTTTTCTAAGTTCAGAAGGGAAAAAAAAATTATCTTCTTGTGTCTCTCAATTGGAGTTACACAATCTACGATACACAAAACATTATACTGTATAGTAAGAACATAGCTAACAAGCATTATCTTTTTAATCTAACAGGTTCTATAAACACCGGATGATGAAAAGCACCGATAACAGTGACACTCACATTAATTTGGTCTGTAGCGCATGTCTACAGTCTGTGTATACCTGCTGTACATCTAATTGCCTGTGCACATATATATATATAAGAATATATATGTAGGTACACATACATGCCTCCACCACTAAAAAGTGCCCTAGGAAAAGCTCATAGGAGTAATCTCATCTGCTGAATCCACCTGGTATGGTTTAGATCATAAAAATCAAACATCAAGGAAAAATGCCAATTTCTTGCTAGGTTAATAGCAATTATATATAGGGTTTTTATTAGTTATGCAGGTAACCACATGTACACTTCTAAATGAACATTAATGTAACGTTTTAGATACAAGTGTCCATGCAGACTTCAGAGCACCCTACATGCATGCAGGAACAATTGTCCTTGCGTTCTTCTGCTAAAAATATAATGCTAAAGCTGTGAAATTCTGTATCAGCACAGAAAACAGGTTGTGGAATTGTGCAGAAAGCTCTCTTCAAAATAACTCCAGTTACTGAGGAAGAGCGAGATCTCACACTACTTCATTTTGATGAGTAAGTAGCAGCTTTGCAGTTAAGGAATACACAGTGACACTTGCTATATTAACTTCACGGAATTAGAGTTTTGAAGAATTTAGCAGCTATGGAAAAATACGATTAACCCTAAGCTAGATGAGCAATACTTTTATGGGGCTGATACACAAGACCCACTAGCTTGTGTACTGAATGCAGGATAACGATGCTGGACTTTTGTGCAAAGCAGAATTTGTTTCATAGAAGTCTACAACGTCCAGACAAACTGAGTATGCATTTTATACTCAGGTTTTCATGATGGCTGAGGCTAAATCTCATCTGTGTTTCCTCGTACTCCTTAATACTACTGGATGACTCTGTAGGTATGGATGTCCTGGCAGCCATAAGATTAGGAGGGCATCAAAATGAATCAGCAGAGTCTTCTCCCTACAGCTTAGCAGACAAGTTTTCTTCTTGTCTAGAAAACAGATCTATTCTCACATAGATGTGAGTAGACAATCCCTAAAACCCCCTTTTGACTATATAAAAGACCATCTTCTGTAATAACAGTAGGTTTTTTCCAGGGACTGACTGCTCTGACATCTTGCACCACTGAAAGTTTCGAGGCCACTGATACGATTTAGGAAGAAACACATGCAGTTGATTAATACAATATTCTTGGAGAAAAGCAGATTATACTCTTCCACCCACATAAGAAATAGAAGCAACGTTGACAGTCACATAAATCATGACCTTGTAACCTCATTTAGAAAGTTACTTGATTTGCTGTAGTTTTTCCCTCAACCTTATTTCTTTGCTTTTTACTAATTCTATTTTTAATTTGTTTTGTTTCAACATGATGTTGCTCTTGTGCCATTTACAAGTTCTCCCTATATTCCTGCATTTTCCAACTGATTGCCAAAAACGCTCATGTTAATAGGTCTGCTTTTTCTGAATAGTCTCAAGTCTTTACATACTGCTGCAAACTTGCAACAGCAAAATATGCCAGTGCCATATATTAATCAGTAAAGAAATTAAATTACAAATAAAAGCTCACAAACATGTTTTCAGAGAAGACAGTAAAACCTATGGGGTAGAAAGATTCTCATGCCATGGATTTACTTTGTTTCTAATCACAGCACATCTTCATCTATTAAATCACAAAATTCTTTCATGTACATACAAAAGAATTTAAAATAATTTTGAAGTGCCTCCTAATAAGCTGTATGCTGTAAAGTAAAAAGGTTATTTTATCTAAACACCCAACTAAAGGCGAAGCCAAGTGTCTGGGTTTAATCAAGGATTATTTGTCCAAATACAAAGGAAAGGATCAAAGTTGTTACAAAGTTTTAAGTGGGCCAAGGTAAAGTCTAAGGAATGAAAAATAAAATTAGACTTCAACAGATGCTAAAAACCCCCAAAACTCCAAAATCGGAATGGTCTTGACCTCATTCTTTACTCCTCTAGTCTTGGGACAAGATGTAAAAACCTTACTGAAAAGTTCACAAAAAAAAAATATCCCACAAAACTTTTAGGAATTATTTTTCTAGACAATTTTAAATTTTAATGCTCTTAATGTTTCACTGCAAGGTTGCCCCCTGCCCTTGCTTTTTTCTTTTTTTAAAAAAGACCTCTCATCTTAATTTTCACCAGGTGACAGTTGCATTTACATTAACAGTGAAAGTTACAACCTCTATTGGTGTACGTAAGGCTTGTGTTAAAACCCTAATTTATCCCTATCACATGGTTCTTGTTTTCTTACATCATTTAATTCAGTTTTCATTTAAGAGTCATGTGAAACACATATTTGAAACAGCTGATTAAATATCTTCTTGAAAAAGGAAAAAAAACCTGCCTGATAAGGGATGCTATTTAGTGTGCAAAATTAACTTTGTTGACTGGCAGGAAGAGTGCCAGCAGATAATCATTTCTTTAAATTCAAGACAACTTGGAAGTTTTAGAGAAACTAGAGACATTCAGAATGAAAGCAGACAAAGTGTTTCTGATAGGCATTATCATACTCATTGTATTTTTTAAGTCACAAAAATCAGGCTCCTTCTTTTTATATAACGGGAAAGCAGAGAGCCACATCAGTTGTATTCTATGCTAATCCTTAGTACAGGTCACTTGTATACTTTTTCCAGACATCCAAAGGGTTTTGCATTAATATGTAACCACATTAGTATTAATAAAAAGCAACTACAAGACAGGTGTCTACCAAAAAGCTATTTTTTATGAAATTTAACATTTGCATGTCACATCATATGTTTTTAAAAAAATATGTAAAACAAGTTTGCTAAGCAGCAAGGGCTGCAACAGAAACGCTACTAAGCAGAACATCATTAAAAGCCCAAGGAATTCAGGTACTTTACTAATCATCACCAGTCCGCCACACAGGTTATACTGGCAATCTATTTCACTGCCAAAGGCAATAAACCTCATTAACCAAAAGGCGAGTAATTTTTAATTATATTTTTTCCTACCCCCCAGAATCACACATTCAAATAATTTTATCAGATGCGTGTACGTACCTGTGCAAAAAGGCCGATAGCTGTCCCCACCAAATTGTGCCATAACTCCAACCCCGTAGGCAGCTGCTTGCCTAACCTCTGGGCTGTTGTCACATACGGACTGCAGCATTGGCCGCAGGAAGTATTCGGCGTACTTGAACGAGGAGGGGCTGCAGTGCTCTACAATATCGTCAAAAATGCAGAGCCCCCACTGCCTGTCTGGCCACGGCCTATGTGGACACTGCATCAAAACCAGACAACGTTTAAGCCACCTTAAAATTGGTAATTTTTGTACAGTCAACGATTCTATAGACAGAACAATCATAGTAACAGCAGTCTAGTATTTTTGTTAAAATCTTCCTGGATTAAATTTAATCCTACAAACACACAATTTTTTGTAGTGATACTTGCAGCAATACCATAAACAACCCAAAATCCAGGTGAATATCTGAACTAATTAAAAGAATAATGATTTTACACAAAATCCTTTACCTCTATTTCACACTCCGGTACCTATTTCAGTCTCAATTTTCCTCACTAGTCCTCAACAATTTTTTGGCCCTCTTCTTGAAATCCATTTTAGAGAGTAACAGACACTCCCAGGCAAATTAAATTTCTCAAAATAGTTGTGTGTCTCGATGATCCTGGGTCTTGCAACACAGAAGTTATAAGGAGCACAGCAGTGCAGCTGTTCAAAAAGCATAGGGTAACAACCTGGTGTGGGATCCAGAACAAACCTTCAACTGCCTCTATTTTGGAAAACAGTAACTGCTAAGTTCTGTCTACCAAGTTCTCCAAGATTCCAGCACAGAAGGCCTATTAACACATCAGAAAAAAGGATAATCAAAGTCAAATTAAAAGACAGCAAGGTACTTACAATTAGGTTGACAATTAGCGGAAGTAGCCTTTCAAACCATGGCAGTACCTTCTCCTTGTAACTGCTGAATATTGAGTGCAAAATGTCCGATACTTTAGTCAAAATATAAACGTCACTGTCATCCTGATAGGAAAAGAATACAACTCACATTAAGACTAATGATCTTTAAAATAGTGGAAGTCACATGAAATGGTAAAGCCTCTAAACTAATGGAATAAAAAGAATGGTTATAGAAAATCAAATCATGAAACAACTTTTAAGCCCACTATTTTTTAACTCTTGGTCTCATCACAGAATGACAGAATCATAGAATGGTTCGGTTGGAAGGGACCTTGAAGACAATCTTGTTCCAATCCCCTGCCCTGGGCAGGGACACCTTCCACCAGACCAGGTTGCTCACAGCCCCATCCAACCTGGCCTTGAACACTCCCAGGGATGGGGCAGCCACAGCTTCTCTGGGCAACCTCTGCCACTGCCTCACCACCCTCATTGTAAAAACATTCCTCCTTACGTCCAATCTGAACGTACCCTCTTTCAGTTTAACTGTTGCCCCTTGTCCTGTCACTACAGGCCCTGGTAAAAGGTCTCCATCTTTCATGTAAGCCCTCTTTATATATTGAAAGGCTGCTCTAAGGTCTCCCTGGAGCCTTCTCTTCTCCAGGCTGAACAACCCCAACTCTCTCAGCCTGTCCTCACAGCAGAGGTGCTCCAGCCCTCGGATCATCTTTGTGTCCTCCTCTGGACTCGCTCCAACAGGCCCATGTCCTCCTTGTGCTGAGGACCCCCGAGCTGAAGGCAGTACTGCAAGGGGGTCTCACCAGAGCGGAGCAGAGGGGCAGAATCCCCTCCCTCGACCTGCTGGTCACGCTGCTTGGGATGCCGCCCAACACACGGTTGGCTTTCCGGGCTGGCAGCGCACATGGCCGGGTCATGTTGAGCTTCTCATCAACCAGGACCCCAAGTCCTTCTCCTCAGGGCTGCTCCCCATCCATTCTCCGCCCAGCCTGTATTTGTGCTTGGGATTGCCTCAAACCAAGCACAGGACCTTGCACTTGGCCTTGTTGAACTTCATGAGGTTTGCACGGGCCCACCTCTTCAGCCTGTCAAAGTCCCTCTGGATGCCATCCTGCCTCTCCAGTGCGTTGACTGCACCACACAGCTTGGTGTCACCTGCAGACTTGCCGAGGGTGCACTCGATCCCCCTACCTATGTTGTTAATAAAGATACTATACAGTACTGGTCCCAGTATCGACCCCTGAGGGACACCCCTTGTTACTGATCTCCATTTGGACATTGAGCCACTGAATGCAACTCTTTGGACATGGCCATGCCGCCAATTCCTCATCCACCGAATAGTCCATCCATTAAATCCACATCTCTCCAATCTAGTGACAAGGATGTTGTGTGGGACCATGTCAAAGGCCTTATGGAAGTCAAGACAGATGACATCAGTTGCTCCTCCTTAATCCACCAGCGCAGTCACTCCACCATAGAAGCCACCAGATTTGTCGGGCATGATTTACCCTTTGTGAAGCCATGTCAGCGGTCTCTAATCAGCTCCCTGTCTTCCATGTGACTTCACATAGCTTCCAGGAAAATCTGTTCCATGACCTTACCCGGCACAGAGTGAGACCGACTGGTTTGTAGTTCCTAGGGTGCTCCTTTTCACCCTTCTTAAAAATGTAAGTCGATTGCTAGTACTCGGTTGCCTAGGACTTGAAGGTATGTTTCAGGGATAGAAAAATTTCGTCACGACAAACACTGTTTTGTGCCAATTTACCGCTTCAATGGATTCCCTTTACAGAAGACAGAGGGGCCTTTTCCTCTTCTGTACCTTACAGATACTGTAACAAGCTTTTATTGAAAAGTAAATGGGTAACTGCCTTTGTGACAGAATATTGTGGCAAAAACAGAAGGAATATTAATCCTCTCCTCTTTTCGCTTAACTTCCTTTTTCACCTTGCCCAATTAATGCATCTCACTGGTGAAGCAAAGATCCTTAGCTCAGATTCAGCTATCAATTCATGTTATACCTGCAAGTGAGGATTGTTCCCTAGATACATTTGTGTTGTAAAAACTCTTTAACTTTATTTTAAAGCAAGTTCTGTTGTACTCAGTATGGTTCCTTTAATCAGTTTATACTTCAACAGGCAGGGAGAACAGAATACAGCTAGTTTCTAGTCCCTGGTGAGAAACTAAAAAGTATTTCTCATGCAACAGGCAGCTTCCCACAACTGGACATTTAAACCCTCCCTGGTTAGGCAACTTCTGCATTGTCAGGGCATAAATCAAGCACTAACTCTGGAACATACACACAGATGAAAACAGAGGTAGAGAACTGTTGCAGCGCACCACAAGGGCCACCTGGCCTGGTACTGCCTCTTTACTAATAGCTGATAACAGGTGCTCAAGGGGCAAGTGTAACACTTGCTTACTGTATGCCTTCTCCTAGGCTCTATCAAACCAGCAGCCTAGTTATTGCCTAAGCTAGGGCTATATCCGGATACTCAAACAGTAGTTTCAGTAAGGTATCTTCCATGACTTCTGTACTCCCTTACATTTCTGCTGCCTTCAGGTAAGGGCTACATAAACATATTCTGGGACTAAAGGTGTATATCTAAATGTTACTCATTACCATACGTTAATTCTGTCCATATGGCAAGTGACATTCTGGTCCCACTCCTACTTTCACAGGGTAACACAGACAAGTCTTCCTTGCAGTCTTTACAAAAAAAAATCAGCAAGGTCAAATATAAATGAAAGCATTTTTAAAAATGCCTTGCAACTCTGTTGCAGAGTATAGATTCAGCTTTTCTGAAACTGCTGCTTGCTAGCGTTTTCTCTCATTATCAGTACAGAGTGACATGTAAGAAAAAAGATAACAAACCACCTAACTCACTCTCTGCAAGAATGAAGAGTAAATGTTGCAGGTAAGAAAGGGAGAAAAAAAATCAGGAAATGCTCTTGGCTCAGAACCTGAGTTTGTTATTTTTTGATCCCAAGCAGTATGTAGGCACCAGAAATCTATCCTTTTGGATGGTTCCCAAAGGAAAAGGGATCAAGAACTACACTGTTATTTAAGAAAGTATTTACATATGCGTGCATGATCTGTTAAGATATACTCTGGAGTCTGCATACAGGTTAAACTCATGGAAACAAGCTTCACGACTCAATTTCACAAGCTTCACACCTGCATTGCATGGCAAAAAAATTTCCTAGTTCTTAAATTTACTGAATATCCTTTATATCTCATGATACAAGCAGCAGTGACTTACTAATCTTTATTACTCTCTCCATACCAATAATGATTTAATAGAACTATCTTATCTCTTCTACAGTCACCCTCACTTCAAACTAAAAAGTCAGTTCAGTATCTTCGCGGATAAGTAGTCACTTTGGTGTTGTCTCATAAGCAAACACATTATGCCAGCTATTCATTCTGCTGTCCTCCTTTGATGCTATTTTAGGTCTATTCTTTTTGAGAGGCTCCTGAGCTGACACATCAGAGGTACGCTCAAGGTTAAGAGCCACCTAGGTCATAAGACACAAAGAAAAAGCAGGGGCAGGCCTTAGATTATCACAGACACAGCATTTGACAGCAGACTATTTAAAATCATCTGAGAATTGTTTGAGAGCACGAAGAAAATCAAGAGTTATATGCTGAACTTCTTCCTTCGGTATAGCAGACAAGGAAATCTTTCGTATTAGAGTCTAATTCACACATGTAGTGTGACCCATTTCTTACTGCAGTTTTGAAGGAATATGGTGACAGAACATTCTTCCAGGAAGAAATAATTCTGAGGATGCACTATGCTTTAAATGAGTAGCATAGCATATCTGTGTAATGTATTTCCATCCTGGTGCTTTATGAGTGGAAAAACTCCCCAAACCAACTTACTTCATCTTGTAATGACTCTTCAACTTGTTCATCATAGTCTTCATCTTGTCTTTTCACTAAAGAAAAAAACCAAATATTAACCCATTACATTTCTACAAATGCATAAGAAGCCTGTGAAAGGGAAAAAATGATGCAGAAACAAATTTAGAAAATAGGAAACAGTAGCTGAAGACACAACAGGAATTTTCCATCTTTAAGAAGCTTCAAAGAGCTTTCACAGAAAAACAAGAAGTATAATGAGACAGCTCAGTTTAAGAATGTGTAAAAGTACATGAAATAGAAATAAATACACCAACTTGTCCACAAGGACAAGAAAAGTGCATGGAAACAAGAAACTACCATTGCTTTAAGAAAACTGCAAAGACTTCAGATGAAAAAACCCCACAGAAATGACACCACCATAGACATGTGCACTGTCTTCAAGTAAACCTGTCCATCAACTTTTGCTTACACTACAGTATTTCTGCAAATGATGCCATCTTCATCCTCCCGGAGCTTACAAATGTAACTCATAGATTCTGTTGTTTCAAAGCCCAATTCTCTCACATAAATATGCAAATTAAAGAAATCTGAACTAAGCTTTTTTTGTGTATGTTCAGAAATTATTAGGAATTCTGCTTTAAAGAACAGCCATTATCACATGTTAACAGGAATTTGTGTTAACTTACCCTGTCTTAATTCTTGATTTTTAAAGTGCTCTTCTAGTTTTCCTTTCAATATTCCTCCAAGTTCTTCAAAGTGTTCATTGTTAAGGCATCCATCTCCCATTACCTCAATGCACTAGTGAAATAAAACGATCAGGTTTTCAGTTTTAAGTTACATGAGCACCCTCAATAAAATCTAAGCACACAGAGAATATTAATACATGCTCTGCTTTAACTGATCACTAGCAGAAATAATACTAATAGAACATTCATACTGTAATCAATGCTCAAATTATACAAGTCAGGCATAGCACCACTCTGCATTTCATGCTCATAACTTCAGTGGTTTGCAATTAAAATGAACAAACCTGCTAATTATTTTAGGTTAATACTTTGGTATTTTGGTTCTTGCAAAAAAAGCACAACTAAGTTTTTCAATCAGCTATAACAACACTTACAGTCAAACCAAAATTCATGTAGAGGAAGCCCTGCATTTCTTTCAGCCATTTAAATGAACATCAAACACACGTCCTTTCTTACCGTAAAAAGTTACGAGCAGTAACACTACGGAATTTGTAAGGAAGAAAGTTACCTTTGCAAAAGAATGCATTATTTCTGAGAGAACATCTGAATCTGGTTCTGTCCCAATGGCTTTGATGAGCGCATCACACATGAAGTGCCACATCTGCGTGAGGTACTCTGGCCCACGAACTCTAGCACATTCAAGGAGGAGAGGCATCGACTCTGCTGCTGCCACTCGAACACGTTTCATTATTAAGGAAATAAAATAATCAAGGCCAACATAAAGTGCTTAGAATTTAAGCATCCACCACCATAATGAAGTTATTAGTTGTCTACCTGAAATGGATTTTTTTTTAAATTACACTGAAGTGCATTTCATTTCTTAATTAGATACAGATTAAGATCATAAGAAAATTAAACTTGTTTGCTATTTAAAAATTGTTTCAAGCCTGTTTCAGGCCATGACAGAAAAGCTATTGAAGTTGTCATTCACTTTGTTAGCACAAACATCATTTTCTCTACTGTTTGCTTTTAACATTATAGACATGTTTATTTAAAAAGAAATTAGGAGAAAAAGTAGGATACATTGGCTAAAATAGTGTGTAAAACAACGCTCTTGGAAACAATTTCTGCTATAAAGCAACACAATATTTTAACACTAGCATTTTCAATTCATTTAGGAAAACAGTAAGCATGACTTTGATTCTTCCAAACTAAGTTTCCACTTTCACAGTAGAATTTGTTAGTAGGATATCATCATGGAAATAGAACTTCAACAAGGGAACCATCAGCTTTACGACTTGCTCTGTGTACTCCACAAATCCTTCTTTTAGCTCTTTTGCATAGCAAACCTGAAATACAAAGCATGGAAATGCCACCTTTAAGAGAAAATACCTTTGCTAATGTTTTTCAACTACGTAATGGTGAGACAAATTGTTAAAAGTTTAAGGTTTTGAAATTTATTTTAAAAACATGCAATAATCCATTTACCTACCTCCTCCCACTGTAGTATTTCAAGAAACCCTGATAGCAGCATGAGTTCTCACTCTTAGTACACACGTGTGTTTTTTAAACCAAATTCAGAAACATCAATATTTGCAAAAAGGAACTACTCTTTAACATCTCCAATTTCTTAAAAGTTTTGCTAACAAAGGAATACTATTTGTTCATCTTAAAAATTGAAGCTCCAAAGTAAAGAAACTAGTTTTATTCAAGCAAGCTACACGCATTGAAGTGTCTGAAATCCAAACTTAACACTATCACTTGAAGAAAACCAGCACTTTTTCATTTGATGATATAAAGAATATTTTCGTTACAGATTTTGGCTTCAGACTCAATTGCCCAGCAATACATACATCACCAAAACTGTCCTATTACTCACCAGCATCTGGCATGCAGTTGCTTTTTCTTCAAGGCCTGCTGTTTTAATTCCAAAACTTTGCTGATCTCCTAGGTTTACAAATTCCCAACCGTCATCATCACTCATATTCTCCATATCTTGTGCTGTTACATAGAGGGGAGAAAAAAACCCAGAAGAATCTAGAAGTGCTACAAAATCACTTATTTCAGTATTTTTTCCAAGCAAAACATTATCTTAAACCTACTGTCTAAAAGAGCTACTTCAGGTTTAATGGATGCAGTCTTCATTAAAGGTCCCATGACAACAGGAAGGTACTGCTGAAATTCCTTTCCAAGAATTTTACACATTCTGGCCCACGCTGAGATCATGTAAGAAATCTATAAAAGAGAAGGGAGTCAAAATTTTCATGTCTCACATTTTGTTTTAATGCATACTTAAAAGGAAAGCATATGGGAACAACATCACACAATAGGACTTTTTCAAAGAATTTGTCAGCAGTGCCTAAAACTTATTTCAAAGAGAAGAACTCATCCAATATGCAATCCATATAAAAATGCATCTTCAAAAGACCTGTCCCAAGTCTTTATTTGTAACAATGCAACGACAGTTCCTCTGATCAAAGTTGCTATACATGTAAAAATGTGACAGTGTAAGATGTACTTGTAATGCAATCATGACTGTCTTGAAAAGCAAATTTATTTCCAAAATGGGTAATTTCCTGAATTTAAATGATACTACTGAGCCACATCCCTGAAAATAGCAAATAGAGCAAAGAAGAGCGCAGTACTGTGTTTTCAGAGGAGTATCGGTTTGCTGATGCACAAGTCAAAATAGCTCTCCACTCATTAGAACAGCTGTCTAACAAGTCCTGTTGAACTATTTATAAGAAGGTGACAGCAAGGGAGTAGGTCATACAGTGCCAAACAAAGTAGTTACTAACAGGCAAGGAACAATCACCCACATGCTGAAATTTCTTCAGTAAATACAGGTCCTGGAAGTCTCATTTCCTAAACATGCTTCTGTGAAAGATTCTAAGGTCATCTTACGGCAATCAATCTCAATTTTTGTAAGACATGCTGAACAATTAGTCTGAAGGTGTAATTACATTGGGGGGGGCAGGAATGTCACATGTACAAAGAATGTTTTTAAAACTAACCAACGAGCTCTGCACTATAAAGACACAATTTTAACATACCTGTGGGTCATCATCTTCTAGATCACTGAAGTCTGTCTGTGTCTTTAATAACAGCTGCATTACATCTGATGCATCCTGCATAAACTAGATATAGGAAACAACTATATGTTTTTAAAAGCAATTTAAAAGGGTACTTTTCAGAGACTTAAATGCTCGCTTAAATTGTTTGGTGTTAAGTCCAACATACTATCAAGACACAAAAGCTGGAAATACACCAAAATGCAGATCAAAGTGAAAACACAAGTTCTTCTTCTGGAAGCAGCACCAAGTCACCCTTGTCTTAAGCTTCACTGTATTTCTGTTCATACACTTGAAAGCAGAGGACTATTTAAATAAAACACCACATAAAAAAATACTAATACTCACAAAAAATATCTGACAATTCTAACTTCCCTAGATACTCTCCTTGCTATTTTGACCTCTTTATGGAACTGCGATAAAAGCTGACAGCATGAGCTACCTACTCGTGAGTTAGTATCACTTTACGTCACATCAGATGCCCCAATGGTGTTACATCTCCCCTCTTTTCACTCACCATGTTCCCAGCAGTCCTCCAGGAATAATGTTTATTAAACATTAGTTATGTTTAAAATCTGTTTAAAATTTAGCCACGTGAACGGTAAGTTTACGGGTAGTCCTTCTAAGTGAAAGGAAAGGGTTGGTAATCTTGCAGGGGGCTATTGTTATTTTTGTACTGTGTACATCACATTATTTTACTTTGAAGTGCGATTTTCTGTTTTCTTCACTCAATAAAATGAAAATCTGCAAACCATAATGTGAACTTGCTAGCAAAACATCACTTAAGACTCTTATATAGTCCTTCACAGCTGTTTTTCAGTACTTTTAGAGAGATATATTTTAACCAACTTCTCAAAAAAAAAAGGAAAAATCTGTCAAATACATCAAACGTCATGGCAAACAAGTACTTCAAGTTCTATTATAAGCACATTTCAACTTTTTCAGGCATCCGCACACAAAAACCATGCTAAGTTTCATTTGAACTACATATTTTACCCACCATTCTGACTCTGCCTAAATGAGATACTGAAGTATTTCTCTTAAGGCAAAAAAAACCCAAATGAAAAAAAATGCTTCCTTTCAACATTGTTCAGTGTGATAAGAATAACTTAAGCTGTAATATTTTCGTAAGATTTTTTATGAATTTGCGAATCTGCACAGCAAGACAGTCACCTTAGAAATGAAAACAGGAAGACAAGCACAGAAATCAGCAACATAGCTCTATGTTTAACGAGTGAATATATTAAATCAATGTTAACACTGCAAAAAACAAAGGCATTTGAAAACACAGTTAGACCATTAAGTAAGATCTAAGCTTACCTTCTCTTTACCAACAGCAAGACCAATTAGGCTGATGCATTCAATAGTCTTTCCTCGTAAAAGTCTTAATTCCTTCTGAACAGCATTCTCAACAATGTGTTTTAAAGAGGGCATAAATAAATCATAGTAGGGAACAAACTTCTCCTCTGCTGTATCTGCAACTGATGCAATTGAAGTCACAACTTGCTCCAAAACTAGCTTAGTGCCTTTCTGTATCAACTTGGAAAGAGGAAGAATAAAGTGTTATATTTCTTAAGCACATATTTTACTTAAAAGCATGCCACATGTAAAAATCTGCTCTTATACGTATCCTAATTCTTGCCAGTTTAGACCAACATCAGCAGATATGCACACTGGCTTATTTCAGAGGTCTTAGTGCAGCTACTCTTATTCTGTGTATGTGACAAGGTTACCCTCCATGAAACAATTTGCTCAGTATATTATACCTCTTGTAATTTTATCACCATAGTGGAATGAAGATGCTTCACTAGATTATCCAAATACGGAATAAGCAGTGACTTGGGACAATCTTCAGTGAAGTTTATGAGCGCTGCAGCTGCGTGGGCCTGAACACGCTGGTTGCCTTGATCCTCCATGGTTTGCAGAAGAGCTGCTATGACCTGACAAAGAAATGTTTATTTTCAGAAGAACAAGTTTTTGAAGGGGACATAGCTTTACCACTTTTTTTTTTTTTTCTTAACTATTCTACTACTTGCCTTCTCATGAAATTTCTTTTGAAAGCCAGGTGCAAAGTCAGTTGCCATTTGTCCGATTGCATTACAAGCAGCGTATCTTACTCTTGGATGCTGAAAAAGTATTTCCCTCAAATAGTTAAAAAGCAGTCACGACAGCAGAAACGAAAACATTTTGAAATAGTTAATAGAATTATACTTACAGGATCCTGAAGGAATAGCAAAACAAAATTAACTATCTCATTTAAAATTCCCTCCATCTGTTGGTGGCAACCTTCTCCAATGGCCGAGAGCGCCATCAAGCCAGCATGTCTGTATTTCCAGTCAGCTACAGAAGAGTAAAAATGAAAATAAATATGTTATTCATTTTGGAAAATAAAAAGCACCACAAAGACAGATTACTTTTT